CATCAATTTTGTTCGATTTGAAGAAGGTAGGGGGGGCAACTTCACTCACGGGTGTTTATAAGGTTGGGGAAACCTGCAGTCAGCTGAGACTGAAGAAGTCACTTGGATGAGTGACGAAACGTTTCTCCAACTGAAAATGTCCAGATGAACAGAATCAACCTTTTGGGATTTACTTACCTGGATGATTAAGCACGCATCAAGACGTTATTTTATTAAACATTTTAAAATGTTAGCAGCACAAACAAACATTTTTGCAGCACAAACCAGCACAAACGTTTGACATCCATTTTGTTTGATTCCATTAATATGGGGGGGCTGGTTGACCTCTAGAAATTTTTGTTAATATCTTTAAAATAATAACGGCACAAACAAAAATTTCTGCAGCACAAACGTAGCACAAACGTTTGATACCACTTTTGTTGGATTTGGGTAATGTGGGGGGCTGGTTGACCTTTTGACCTTTACATTTTCATTTATATCTTTAAAACAGAAGCAGCACAAACGAAAATTTTAGCAGCACAAACCAGCACAAACGTAGCACAGTTGATTGACACCCATTTTGTTTGATTTAATTAATGTGGGGGGGCTGGTTGACCTCTGATGACCTCTAGAAATTGTTATTAATATCTTTAAAATGATAGCAGCACAAACCAGCACAAACGTAGCACAAACGTTTGATACCACTTTTGTTGGATTTGGGTAATGTGGGGGGGCTGGTTGACCTTTACATTTTCATTAATATCTTTAAAACAGAAGCAGCACAAACGCAAATTTTACCTGCACAAATCTGCACAAACGTAGCACTAAAAAAGTAGACCATTTTGGCCCGTTTTGGAGCAGTCTGGGGGGATGGTGACCTTTGAATGACCTATAAAATAAAGTTTAATATCTCGGAAACCGTAGCAGCACAAACGCTAATTTTACCTGCACAAATCTGCACAAACGTAGCACTAAAAAAGTAGACCATTTTGGTTTGTTTTGGAGCAGTCTGGGGGGATGGTGATGTCATCAGCAAAAAATATAACTTTTAATATCTCAGATACTGTAGCAGCACAAACGCTAATTTTACCTGCACAAACCAGCACAAACGTAGCACTAAAAAAGTAGACCATTTTGGTTTGTTTTGGAGCAGTCTGGGGGGATGGTGACCTTTGAATGACCTATAAATAAAGTTTAATATCTCGGAAACCGTAGCAGCACAAACGCTAATTTTACCTGCACAAATCAGCACAAACGTAGCACTAACCGCTCCGCCTATTTGCCTTTACGTTTCAAGTGGGTGGGGGGTCAGCTTCACTCTGCTGCTCGTGATAAGGAGCCGGCTCGCGTCGTTCACATCGAAGAGCCGGCTCTAGAGCCATTTCGTTCGCGACCGACCCATCACTATACTTTGTAGAACCACCTTTTGCTGCAATTCCAGCTGCCAGTTTTTTAGGGTCTGTCTCTACCAGCTTTGCACATCTAGAGACTGAAATCTTTGCCCATTCTTCTTTGCAAAACAGCTCCAGCTCAGTCAGATTAGATGGACAGTGTCTGTGAACAGCAGTTTTCAGATCTTGTCACAGATTCTCGATTGGATTTAGATCTGGACTTTGACTGGGCAATTCTAACACATGGATATGTTTTGTTTTAAACCATCCCATTGTTGCCCTGGCTTTATGTTTAGGGTCGTTGTCCTGCTGGAAGGTGAACCTCCGCCCCAGTCTCAAGTCTTTTGCAGACTCCAAGAGGTTTTCTTCCAAGATTGCCCTGTATTTGGCTCCATCCATCTTCCCATCAACTCTGACCAGCTTCCTGTCCCTGCTGAAGAGAAGCACCCCCAGAGCATGATGCTGCCACCACCATATTTGACAGTGTGGATGGTGCGTTCAGAGTGATGTGCAGTGTTAGTTTTCCGCCACACAGTGTTTTGCATTTTGGCCAAAAAGTTCCATTTTGGTCTCATCTGACCAGAGCACCTTCTTCCACATGTTTGCTGTGTCCCCCACATGGCTTGTGGGGGACACAACACCTTGTATGTGAGGAGCAGGATTTTGAATTCAATTCTGGATTTAACAGGAAGCCAATGAAGGGAAGCCAGTACAGGAGAAATATGCTCTCTCTTTCTAGTCCCTGTCAGGACTCTTGCTGCAGCATTTTGGATTAGCTGAAGGCTTTTCAGCAAGTTTTTTGCACATCCTGATAATAACGAATTGCAGTAGTCCAGCCTGGAAGTAATAAAAGCATGAACTAGTTTTTCAGCGTCACTCTTAGACAGGATATTTGTAACTTCAGAGATGTTGCGCAAATGGAAGAAAGCAGTCTTACATATTTGTTTAATGTGCGTTGAAGGACATGTCCTGGTCAAAAATGACTCCAAGGTTCCTCGCAGCATTACTGGAGGCCAAGGTAATGCCATCCAGAGTAAAAATCTGGTTAGATACCATATTTCTAAGCTTTTCAGGGCCGAGTACAATAACCTCAGTTTTATCTGAATTAAGCAGAAAGTTGGCGGCCATCCAGGTCTTTATGTCTTTAAGACATTCCTGCAGTTTAACTAATTGGTGTGTGTTATCTGGCTTCATGGACAGATAGAGCTGGGTGTCATCTGCATAGCAGTGAAAATGTATGCTATGTCTTCTAATAATATTGCCTAGGGCAAGCATGTATAATGTAAACAGAATTGGTCCTAGCACTGAACCCTGTGGAACACCATAATTGACCTTAGTATGTGAAGAGGACTCTCCATTTACATGCACAAATTGGAGTCTATTAGATAGATATGATACAAACCACTGCAGTGCAGTACCTGTAATACCTACAGCATGTTCTAATCGCTGTAATAGGATATTATGGTCAACAGTATCGAACGATGCACTGAGATCTAGTATAGTTGTCCTATGGACAGATTCCCCCACCTGAGCTGTAGATCTCTGCAGCTCGTCCAGAGTCACCATGGGCCTCTTGGCTGCATTTCTGATCAGCGCTCTCCTTGTTCGGCCTGTGAGTTTAGGTGGACGGCCTTGTCTTGGTAGGTTTACAGTTGTGCCATACTCCTTCCATTTCTGAATGATGGCTTGAACAGTGCTCCGTGGGATGTTCAAGGCTTGGGAAATCTTTTTGTAGCCTAAGCCTGCTTTAAATTTCTCGATAACTTTATCCCTGACCTGTCTGGTGTGTTCTTTGGACTTCATGGTGTTGTTGCTCCCAATATTCTCTTAGACAACCTCTGAGGCCGTCACAGAGCAGCTGTATTTGTACTGACATTAGATTACACACAGGAGCGCTGTATGTAGTCATTAGCACTCATCAGGCAATGTCTATGGGCAACTGACTGCACTCAGACCAAAGGGGGCTGAATAATTACTCACACCCAACTTTGCAGTTATTTATTTGTAAAAAATGTTTGGAATCATGTATGATTTTCATTCCACTTCTCACGTGTACACCACTTTGTGTTGGTCTTTCGCGTGGAATTCCAATAAAATTGATTCATGTTTGTGGCTGTAATGTGACAAAATGTGGGAAAGTTCAAAGGGGCCGAATACTTTTGCAAGCCACTGCATATAATACTTCCACACAAGACAGTGCACGAAAAAAGATTTTGAACATATACAAGCATACACTTTGTGCATGTGTGCACCTTGAAAAAAGGTTATGTCTATATTTTGTGCAGCTTTGGGGTTTCTTGAAAGTTGCCAGTAGTAAGACACTCAAGCCTTTGTTGCTTGATATCTTGCAACATAAAATTTGTCGCGATTAGGAAGAATTGCCTGCTGAGTCATAAACTCAGCTCAAATATGTAGAGTAATACTTCTCCTAGTCTCATGCAGCTGAAGATTATTTTATAAACTAGTTGATAGAATGTAATCTATCTTGGACACCACAAGGAAGGAACAGTGTTACAGCTGTTCGTAATGTTACACTTTTGTTTTTTGTAATTAAGGACACCGAGGGCCTTGGTTGTCTGTTGTTCATGCTAAATATCACATTATAACAAAATTTTAGTCTTTTGCACTTCACCTGTGGGGTTTTCTCATTGATTTCTTTGCATCTCTGTTCAAAGCATCTCCAAGGTGAAGCTGTGGTTTGTGGTGATATTTGAAGTCTAAAAGCATGCCAGCTGCTTGTGGCATTGACGTTGTACAGTCATAACTGCCTTCCTGATATCAGTATCACAAAAAATAAGTCACTTTTATGGCATGTTGATCTATTGATAAGGTGGAGACAGGCCTGCCTTTTCAAGTGTTCAGGCACTTAAGAAGTAGCCTACTTAAGTGGCATTTAAGCACGCATAGAATAACTGATTTGCGCTTTTAAGCAATGCCCAACTCAGAACAAACCTTCCCACAGTGAACAAAATAAATCGATATGAATAAAATTATAAATTTTAGGAGGTTTATAAGATGTGATAACAAAGCATAATGTAATAAATGTCTATATGCCAATAACAATCGCATTAAGTGGGTAGTTATTCAATAAAGCTATGCAGTGCTGAGGTTTGTCCCCTTGAGAATGTTCTTAGAAGTAGAATGAGTAATTGGATTCTCGCCTGTCCTCTTCAGTTCAGCCCTCTCTTTCTCTCTCGCTCTCTTCTGCTCCCCCCCTCCCCCCAAGATCCAGGGATAGTCACTCTGTCTGGCTTTCCGTTGAACACCTTGCTGCTGTGACAGCAGTCAAGTGAAACTCGGAATTTTAAAGAGAGGGAGAGAGAGATACGGACAAAATTGCGTGGCTTCAAAATAAAAGCACCAATGACCAAAGTGTGAAATTGAAACTTAGTCAAGTTCAGTTTCCTAAAAAATATAGGTAACTAAATTACTCTATGGCTAAATTTAGTTCTTGTTTTTTTTAAAGATGCATATGCTTTTAACAAACACATAGAATCTGTCTGAGATTACAAGATGAGTTTTTTGCATTATTTAATTATTATTTATTTATTTATTTTGCTTAGGTTTTATTTTGAAAGTCTAAAGGAAAAGTTCCTTTATTATAGTAAACTCGACAGCTGCCGGCGCGGACACCTAGTTATCTGTGGACAGGCTTCGCGGTGGTCGGCTTCAATTATCGTTTTACTGGGACACTTTTTTTTAATCGCTCACTTTCCTTTAAAAAACAAAACAAAAAACGTTTTCACGGTTTCGAACTGCTGCTGCCGCAATTACCGGGGAAAAAAATAGCAGCAACGGTCCAGGATGAACTTTTCCTTATCCCGGTTAACATTTTCGCTTCTTTGATTGGAGAATCCCGGGCGTGTGGAACTACACTTTTCCATTTTTAGTGGGTTCACTGCGAGTGGAACAGTGGGCGAAAGTGTTAGGTGAAGACTTTGAACATCATAAAGCGTGGTGGTGATTTTCACGAGGAGACCTGAAACCTCGAATACTGACGGGGGAAATATTCAAGGTAAGCCTACGCGCTCATGGAAGAATAATGCTGCATATGTTGGTTGGCTTTAGAAACCTAGGCTAAAGTTAAACACACACACATATGTATATATCACATTATCTCTCGCTCTCTCTCTATATATATGTGTATGTGTGCGTGTGTATAGAGAGACAGAGAGATATGTATATATCACATTATAGATAGCTAGATAGACGTGTGTGTATCTATTTATGTATGCGTTTGAGTATCTCTGATATACATTTGCACCTCAATTAATTTATGAAAACATTTTGTGAATAAAATATAAACTAAAATAATCTTACTAAATAATCTTTGTGCTATAAAGTGATAATTAATTTACAAAAACATTAAAAAGGAGAGAGATACTAAGGCTCATTTGTTACATGCCCTGTAAGATAATAATGGTGGTTCAGTGTTAGTATTTATTATAAATGGCTTGGTTAACAGTGGTCGACCCATTTTTAATGTGTTATTTTGCCTTGTTTATTTCACATTAATTTCTTTTTTCATTGCTTATGTGCGTGCTTGAGCTAGGAATACATCAGTGCGCTGTTTACAGTAAAAAGGTTGTGACATTGGTTACCATTTTCTTCACCTCTCTCAGCCTGTATCTGTACAAAGAGGTGATGTCTGGGTTCATGCTGCTGCCTGAAGGCAGCCATCAAAGGTAGTGATAACAGCTCGAACTTGCTCTCCTTACAGCTGTAGCGTGCGGTTTCCTGTCAGTGATGAGATGCACAATCAAAAGACTTCACTCATGTAGAAAAAAAAAACTCCTGAACAACAGAAGATGGGCAATGGCCCAAATTAAATTAGATAAAGCAGCACATGCAGATATGAGAACTACTGGAAACTGAAAGTGATAAAGTAACAAATGAGAAGGGTATTTTTTTTAACCATTCATCTTGAGAAATGCAAATGCTGCTGTGGTTGTGTGACTCATTGCAGAAAGCGCTTCTCCTTTGTGCTGACTTCTTTTTTTTTAATAATGAGGAAAAGAAAGCCGTTGATGGCGAACCAAAGCCCTTGGCGATCACCTAAGGCCACACTGGGGGTGATTTAGACTTAATAATATGCAGTCTTTTGTCCGTGCCAGAGTTCGTATGTGTGTTGTTTTATTGATTTATTCATATCCCCGAAGGAAATGTGTGCAGCATTCCACCTGCTCCTCCAATTTCCTCGCAGAGTATGTCGAGATACAGATAAAGGAGCCATGTAATCACATGCACAGACATGCACCCTGCATCACTGTGGTGCTATGGGAAGGTATGCAAGGTCCAATGCAAATGTACCCTCAGGAACATTCCCCACGACCCGTATTCCACCTAACCTTGAAAAATATCTCCGCATTCCTGCTTTGACTCAGCTTTCCTGGGGTTTAGTTGAGTGTCTGCTGCATGTGGTGAGATGAGAAAAAACAAACAACTTATTACAAATACTTTCAATTGAGTGTTTTAGAATCTCACTTTGAGACTCATTCAGTAGCCGCTCAGCGTTAGTGCTGTAAATCAACATGACAGCAGCAGCACTGCTGGGCCCGTTGCTTCATGTAATGTGCTTCAGAAAAACAAAAACGTCTTATCTTTTAGGAAACGGTTGCACAAAAGTGTAGCCCAGTGAAGTCTCCTCCTAGCAGCACCATTTAAGCCAGTGTTAGAAAAGGCTTGAAATGCTTATTAAGGACCCCTTTTTTGTCCCTTAATTGATTCTGTCATTTTTCTTGATGAAAAATCATATAGAGCCATAAAATAAGTAAATCCAAACACATACGTACGTTTCAATGCAATCAGCGAATATTCTAATTTAAAAGTAAGTGACAGCTTTGTAAGTGTAAGCTGTCAGTATGGGTGTGCACAGTTCTTTTAACCACTGGCTGAACCAGCCTCTGAATCAGCCAGTGGTCTTTGACCCTTATTCATGCTCGCTGTCACTTCAGCTCTAAAGCCTGACAACAAAGAGCAGCTTTTGTTCCCTGGCTTACTCTTCTTCCATGCACATTCTTTGCTGCTTCACTCTGCTGCTTGTAGACGAGTGGGGTGAATTTAGATTGAAAACTGCCACAGGAAACAAACTCAGGCTACTTTAAAGGCACATTCATAATAAATATGTTAATATGTCTATAATTTAAAATGCTCCAGCTTGTTCCAAGACTGAGGGTAAAAGAAATGGTGAAACTGGATGGGTCGTTTTTTTTTTTCACATATTTAACTCAGGTGACTAGTCAGCAGAATAGAAGGACAGACATGAAAAGCAGTGACAGAAAATGTTACCCTGAGGTACTTTAAATCTTTGAGAATGACAGGAAATGGTATTTTCAAGGTACTTTTACTGAAACCAGGTCACGTATATCAAAGGGTTTAATAGGAGGTGCTTATCATTTGTAGAAAACATTCTCATTAACTCATGAAAGGTTAAACTAAGAATAGACTAAAAATGTAAATGTTGCCCCTTTTCACAAGTGAATTGTATAATGTGATACCTAAGTCTTGTGAGATGTGTATATGAAATAAACATTTACTTTTGAAGAGAAATGCTAATGTGAGCATCCTAGCATGCCCTCAGTGGCAACGCTGAAATGCTGATCCTAGCAGTTTCGTCTACTGTCGTCAGAGCTTCATCTTTTCGTGTTTGGTTGAAAATCAACCCAACTGACAAGTAAATTATAATTCACTAGAAGATAAGTCTGTCACACGCATTTACATTAAGATACTTTTGGTATACTTCGTTGCTCAGTTATGGCTATATCTAGCAAATGTGTGTGCTGCATAGATGCTAGAAGTCGTGGCGTGGGCTGTGTCCCAAAATAACACAACACACTTAACATCTAGCCCACATTGCACAGGTCTTTGTCTGAGGCGATGCAACGCGTTTCAGTTCATCTGCTAGAGGTGTGAATTACCAAAGACCCAAAGGGGCAATATTATCATAATACCCAACTCAATGATACAATTTATTGTGATTCTGATACTTTTGCTAAATATTGCAACAAGTTATTGTGATATATTGTGTTTTATCATATATATTCTGTTGCAAATGATGTCTTCAGTCATTTTTTTCTACAGCAAAGTGTGATTGTTAACCAGCCAGACTGACCAACACAGTTTATTCAAACTTGTAATTAAAGTTGCATGCACCTGACAAACTGAACTTTTTCTATTGCAATCTAGTCCAGTTTACTGACTAACTAAAATACTTTCTATTTACTTACCAATTCAATGCAAACATGTAGACTATTGTACCATTAAATAAGTCTTGAACCTAGAGAGTGATCACCATTTCTGAGATGTGAGGTGTTGTATGAATCCACTGCCTGTGATGTCCACATGTGTCAGGTTAATGCAACCCTTTCTGCTGTACCTTTCCTCAACTTTGCACTTCCCTTCTCTGTAGAACCTAGGTGTGGCTGTATACATGAAAAAGCATTGAGATGGTGTCAAATATCTGGATCCCATTGTCTTCATCAAGACCAGGTGATCGATATGTTATCTTCTTAGCTCACTCTGAATTGGGAGGTAGCTCTAGTGTTTACTTTGGCATCCATGGCTGATTATTTTCAGACTTTTTACTATCATACAGTACTCTTTACAAATCCATCTACTTTGTCTTGCCCTTGTAAGAAAAAAATAAGTCCATGTGTCTGATTTAGATGTAGATGGAACTTTTTTGGTTTTCGTTCTTTTGCTTTATATCACCCACACCAAAAAGTACCAGTAGTCAGTACTTCGTTTTCACATATGCCAGAACCAAAACAAGATTATGCCTGCCTAGAAAGGTAACTACACATTGCTGTCAACGCAGCCCATACAGTTGGAAGCGCTGGCCACAATGTTGATCACTACCTTAGACTACCTTATATTGTAGTTCAAGCGTAAACCAGGTTGGTTATGTAGGTCAAAGTACAACCGCAGCAGATTTATTGGTACTCTAGCACAGTGTATTTGTGGTAGTAAACTGCTACCAAACATACACCGCAACTGTAAGTATAACAACTATAACCCTGCTTGATAACCAAGCGGTAGTCTCTATTGTAAAGGCATACATAAAACAAATTTAAACTACTGGATTTTTGAAACAGATTTGTCTCTTTATTATTATTACAATTACCTATCCTCAAGCTAGGGCTGCTCAATTAATCGAATTTTAATCACGATTACGATCTGGGCTTTCAACGATCATTAAAAATGACTGAGCCGATTATTATCCCTCGTGCTTTACTCTCACGCTGCTCTGTGTGGCAAATCAAGCGCACCTCTCTGCATTTCCAACATGTGTCACAACAATTAAGAAGACCCAAGGGAAGCTCGGAAAGCTATGCAGAAGTTATTTGGGGAGGAGAGTGACTGCCGTTGGTTGAAAAGAGAGGTAAAAGAAAAAAAACTTCAGTGGTGTGGAAACATTATGGGTTCTACTTGACGTGGATCAAGTAGACATAGTGTGTACACTTTGCTACAGTGTCGTAACTGAGAGCAACACTGCAAAGTTCACTAAACATAGATGTTTACATTTTTCATTTATTTTTTATTTTGCAAACATTTGCACTGTTATCAGTATTTGCACACTATTTTATATTATTTTTTAAAGTCATTATTCAATACATTGTTATTGTTAACCCTTTAAATCCCTGTAGAACCTGAACCGTGTAAGCTAGCGCAATAATTTGTTTTGCATATGAAACCAGAGGAGTTGTACTTACATCTTATGCCATCAGCTTGTCCTCGGTCACGGTTCCCTTCCACATAAAGCTTTGCAAAAATTGCATAAAAAGCGCTTGCAGGAACAAAAAAATAATATTCCAGAAACACGCTTTGCCGATCCGATCAGCTGTTCGTAACACTTCCCACATTGAACAAGACGTCAACGCGAACTATCGCATGTCCGCCATTTCCTGTCCGAAACCGACTTCATTTTCACGGAAAATGTAGTTTTTTACTTGTAGGCCTTAAAAGCCTATACTGGTGTTTTTATAAGTCATGTTTGACTTTTCTGAATAGTTTCTG